TATCGATAATATTGATAAAAATGAATTTAGTTTACAAAAGGAGAGAGTTAATCTGGTATTGCACGAAAGAAGTCGGAAAAATGTTGACGAAATTATTTTAAATCTTTTAGAATTGTATGTACGTCATAAATGGACAAAAGCGAGCTTACGTGATACTCTAGCAATGTTACGAAAAATTCTTCCTCAAGGTAATCAATTGCCTAAATCGCTGTTTAAACTATTTAAATACGTCCAAGACCGTACACCTTCATTTAATGTTATTAAACACTTTTACTGTAAAAAGTGTTTGTACTATAATGGTATTAAATCTAAAATTAACAAGTGTTTTTCGTGCAATACTGACAAAAGCGACATTTCATTCTTCTTTGAAATCGATATTTGTGAACAATTGAAATTTATGTTTGAGAACCTTGACCTATCCGCGAAATTGAAACCATCATCATTAGATTGTGATAAAAATATAATAACTGATATAACTGACAGCTCTGAATATATTAGAGTCAACTCTCGAGATAATAGAAAAAAATACGATTTAACATTGATATTAAACACAGATGGCCTTTCTTTGGCTAAAAGTTCCAAGAGTCACTGTTGGCCATTAATCTTTGTAATTGCTGAATTGCCGAAATATCTTAGAGAGACATATATGCTTATGATAGGCCTTTGGTACGATGAAAACTGTAAACCATCAATGAATACATTTTTACAACCATTCTGTTCAAAACTGCAAAAATGTTTCGATGATGGCATTTGTTGGACTCATCCTGAGACAGGAGAAAAGATTATTTCTAAAGTTGTAGCACCTTTAATTATAGCTGACGCACCGGCAAGAGCCCAACTTCAGAATATTGTTAATTTTAATGGTAAATATGGTTGTAATATCTGCGAAATTAAGATGAAAAAATGTAAGAAAATCCGTGCAGAAAAATGCTATCGTATATATCCTTTTAATAAAAATACTAGTAAACTTAGAAGTAGCTACAGAATGCATAAACAAGCTGAAAAAGTACGTAATTCGGATGCAAATAATATAAAAGGCGTAAAAGGAAATTCTATTATCTCAACTTTACCTTTTATTGACTTAGGAACATGTGTAATACCAGAATATATGCATTCTGTGTTACTAGGAGTGACACGACAGTTTATAGATTTGTGGTTTAATAAAAAAGGGCCATGGAATATAAAGAAATATACTAAAGGCATTGATAAGTTCTTATTAAACATTCAACCACCGCATATCTTTCACAGAATGCCACGATCTATAACGCTCGCTAAATTTTATAAAGCATCAGAATATTATAATTGGATGTTATTTTATTCGCTTCCAACATTAGTTAACTACTTGCCAGAAAAATACTTTCAACATTGGCTCCTTCTTGTTAAAGCATTATTTATCTTGCTTAAAGATTCTATTAAAAAAGTAGAAATTGAAATAGCACAAGAATGTTTAAAATTATTCGTAAAAAAAACTAAACTTTTGTATAGTGATCGTGAATTAACATATAATATGCATCAGCTTTTACATCTTGCTCTCATTGTAACGCGATGGGGTCCTTTATGGGCTACGTCGGCATTTCCTTTTGAAAATTTTAATGGATTCCTGGCCAATAGTGTTCATGGCCAAAAGCATATGGGTCAAGAAATTATTAATAATTTATGTATTATTCAAAGTATACAAATATTTAAACATCAAGTTGCGGAAAAAAAACTAATATATTTAATAATAAAAAAACTCAAACGATGGGTACAAGAATAAATACTGAATTAAATAAGGCTGAAAATGAATTATTAAAATCTAATGGTTTAGATCCAACGAGTTTATA